ATTTTTGTTTTTACCTAAAATCTGTCGGTATTTTTTCCTTTTTAATGTTCTTTCTGTCAACACTGCAACCAAGGGTACTTGGTACAGACCATAAATTCAAACCTCTACTAGTGGAAGGGCGGGGTTTTGGGGGGACCTGCCCCCCCAAAACCCAAACCACGTTCACCCCCTGGCATATAAAAAGGCTCCTCCTGCACTTCAACTTCATATTTTTTTCAAAAAACGAAAAAGCCTTCTCCAGACTGAGGGAGCCCACCTCAAAATTTAAGGGTGGACTGATTACATCGTCTTCAAGTATTTTTGCTTCTACAACTTATCTGTACTCGACTGAAGAAGCCTACTGTGTAGGCGAAACGTTTCGAAATAAAGATACCTAACTGTTGCATATGTGTCTTACCTAACAATCTGTCGGTATTTTATACCATTTTAATGTTCATTCTGTCAGACACCTGCAACACAAGGTATCTTGGTACAGACCATCAACTTCGACCTCTACTAGTGAGAACGGCGGGGTTTTGAGAGGGACCTGCCCTCCCAAACCAACCTACGTCTCACCTCCTGGCACTATATAAAGGCTCCATCCTTTTCCACTTCAACTTCATATTGTTTCAGACAACGGAACAATGCTCTTCTCCAGACTGGGGGACTGACCACCTCAAAATTTTAAAGGGGTGATGGACTGATTACATCGTCTTCAAGTATCTTCTGCTTCTATCAACTTTTTCTGTACTCGACTGAAGAAGCCTACTGTGTAGGCGAAACGTTTCGAAATAAAGATACCTAACTGTTGCATATGTGTTTACCTAACAATCTGTGGGTATTTTATACCATTTAATGTTCATTCTGTCAGACACTGCAACACAAGGGTATCTTGGTACAGACCATCAACTTCGACAATCTCTACTAGTGAGAACGGCTGGGTTTGAGAGGGACCTGCCCTCCCAAACCAACCTACGTCTCACCTCCTGGCACTATATAAAGGCTCCATCCTGTCACTTCAACTTCATATTGTTTCAGACAACGGAACAATGCTCTTCTCCAGACTGAGGGACTGACCACCTCAAAACTTTAAGGGTGATGGACTGATTACATCGTCTTCAAGTATCTTCTGCTTCTATCAACTTATCTGTACTCGACTGAAGAAGCCTACTGTGTAGGCGAAACGTTTCGAAATAAAGATACCTAACTGTTGCATATGTGTCTTACCTAACAATATGACTAAAGTTAAAGTCTCCTAGAATTACTACATTATCGTGCCTTGTGGCCCTAACAATTTCCTCCCATAGTTGTCTTCCCTGGTCCCTATCTAAATTTGAGAGACGGAATATCACAACTAAAGTTAATTTTTCATGCCCCTCTGAAAATTCTATCCAAACAGACTCTGTATGTGTTACTTCAGACTTAATACCCGTTTTGATGCAACAGTTCAAGCGATCTCGGACATACAATGCCACCCCACCCCCCTTCCCGATACTTCTATCTACTTGGAACAATTTAAAACCCTGAATGTGACATTCCGCAGGCATGTCCCGACTTTTTGAATTAAACCACGTCTCAGTAATGGCAAATACATCTATGTTACCTGCACTAGCAACTAGTCTCAACTCGTCCATCTTATTCCTAGCACTGCGACTATTTGTGTAATATATACTTAAGGACCCTCCTTTCTCTTTATCATTCCTGCTCCTTTCTGTTATTCCACTAAACCTATTACTGTCCTTGTCAATTAGTGCCACGGGCCTTTTCCGATATCCACCTCTTTTTCCCTATTACTAGTTCTCCTAGTACTCATATTACTACCCTGAGACTTCACAGTTTTCCCGCAGAAACCCAAAACCACTAACTATTCCTAGTTTAAAGACCTAACAGCTCCCTCCATTTGCGTTGGCCAGTGCTCCCACCCCACACCTAGACAAGTGAACCCCATCCCGGGCTACATTCATTTCTGCCATAGAAGGTTTCCCAGTTGTCAATGAATTTTTCCCGCATTTCCTTACAGTTTTTGGGTCCAGCCAGCAATTGACACCAATTGCTCGGGCCCAACCATTCATTTCCAACTCCTCTCCTTGGAAAAAATGCCACATATGAAAAGGTTTCCCACCCTTCTTCCTAATTATCTCTATTGCTGACCTATACCTGCTAATCGGGTCCTCACTCCTACGTCTGCCAACATCGTTGCCTCCGCACTGAGACAGATAATAGGATTGCTCCCATTACCTCTCATGATGTCATCCAGACGGCTAACAATACCCTTCATCCCAGCCCCAGAAAACACACTCTCTCCCTCCTACTCCTATCCTTCAAACAGAATGCCCTATCCATGTACCTAATCTGACTATCCCCAACAACAACAATGTTTTTACCTTCCTTGGCGTTCGTCCGTAGTGATGCTCCGAGTAGTCGACTCAAATTCGCCAGGTAGCATTACACCACTTGTAGAATTCTTCATGACGTTCTCGATGGTCTTCGTTGGGGTTTCTAGGGATGTCTCACCACGTCTGCCAATGCTTCCTTTGGGGCTCGTTGTGGCATTCCAGTAGAACACTCACATTCGTCAGGTAGCACCGAGAATGAGTTGGAAGTTTCCACGGCAGTCTTCTGGTTTCTCGTTGTTTCTGCTTCTCCAACCGTTTTCTTAATCTTCAGCTTGGTTCCAAAGTTCCCGACCACTGACCAAGCTCCCCTCTTAACCTGGGGACTCACAACAGGAGGATTACTACGAATCCTCTTGTTCTCCTCCGTTAATCGCCGTATCTCCAGTTTAGCAACTCTGAGTTCTTCTCTCAGCTGCTGGTAAAGCTGCTCAAGAGAGGGCATCCTGGTTCAGATTCACAGAGAGCACACAAACAGGTCTTCACAGAGCTAAGTACACGTCACCACTGAGCTAAGTACACGTCACCACTCAAGCTAAGTACACGTCACCACTGGGCTAAGTACACGTCACCACTGGTTGTTAGGTAAGACACATATGCGACAGTTAGACAACTTTATTCCGAAACGTTTCGCCTACACAGTAGGCTTCTTCAGTCGAATACAGAAAATAGGCAGGAACAGTAGAGATGTGAAGACGATGTAATCAGTCCATCACCCTTGTAGTCGTAGAATTTGAGGTTGTCAGTCCCTCGGCCTGGAGAAGTTCAGTTCCATAGTCAGGAACAAATTCTACGACTACAAGGGTGATGGACTGATTACATCGTCTTCACATCTCTACTGTTCCTGCCTATTTTCTGTTTTCGACTGAAGAAGCCTACTGTGTAGGCGAAAGTTGTCTAACTGTCGCATATGTGTCTTACCTTCTGCAGTGTTCCTACATTCTTATGTTCTTATGAGTGGGAGGGGCTGGGTTTGAATGGTGTCATTGGGTACGGGAGTTATTTCTTGGGTATCTTTAGGTAGTGGTCGTTTTGATAAGGACCTGCCTCTCATGGGCCAGTAGGCCTTCTGCAGTGTTCCTACATTCTTATGATGATAAATTAGACACATGTGCAACTCTTGGGTATCTTTTTTGAGGAAACGTTTCGCCACACAGTGGCTTCATCAGTCCATACAAAGGAGAATCTTGAAGAACAGGAGGAGAATGAGGTAATCAGTCCCTCAACCTTGAGTGGATGTGTTCAGTCCATCAATCTTGAATAGAATATGGCATACGTGCGGAGAAGGAGCTTATAAACCGTTGGCAGGAGAGGTGCACATGTGTCTAATTTATCAACATGTCGGTTCTCTGAACCCTTCATCTACAAACTACATTCTTATGTTCTTATGTTCTTTTGAGATTGTAATAAAGTTGGTAGAATTACCGACAATATGTAAAGTAAAAGGACACAAGTGCAACTTGTGGCAACGTTTCGCTCTCCAGGAGCTTTATCAAGCCATGTATTGTTTGGTAGGTAAGACACATAGGCAACAGTTAGGCAACTTTATTCCGAAACGTTTCGTCTACACAGTAGGCTTCTTCAGTCGAATACAGAAAGTAGGCAGGAACAGTAGAGATGTGAAGACGATGTAATCAGTCCATCACCATTGAAGTCGTAGAATTTGAGGTTGTCAGTCCCTCGGCCTGGAGAAGTTCAGTTCCATAGTCTATAGTCTTACCTACCAACCTGTCGGTATTGTATACCATTTTGATGTCCATGTATTGTTTGTAATGGCTTGATAAAGCTCCTGGAGAGCGAAACGTTGCCACAATAAAATGTCACATTAGTTGCACTTGTGTCCTTTTACTTTACATTCTTTTGAGATTGGACAAATATACGAGTGGGAGGGGCTGGGTTTGATTGGTGTCATTGGGCACGGGAGTTATTTCTTGGGTAGCTTTAGGTAGAGATCGTTTTGATAAGGACCTGCCTCGCATGGGCCAGTAGGCCTTCTGCAATGTTCCTCCATTCTTATGTTCTTATGTTAACTTCCTCGCTCCACCTCATGGAACAGACCCGGGTCGGGACCCGTCCCAGAGAACCCACCAGTAGTGGGCTCAGTAGTGAGGTGTACAACAAACTACATAAGGAGGCTATGACGACAACAGATCATTAGTTATCTGGAAGAATGTGTTCGAGGATGATCTTCTCAACGTATGTGATGCTTCAGACGGTCGGGACGCTAGTCTCCTGCAGACCAGAGACCATGGGACCCTTTCTTCATGGTCCTCCAGGTAAAGTGGCTGCTACTTACCTGTGTTCTAAGGCTGCATTATACATTCCAGAAATAGTTGTGTTGTGCCTGTAGCTCAGACTAATTCTTAGTTTATAAGGAATGTTTACCCGTAATTCTTGCTTTTTGTGAGTGTCTTTGTACTAAATATTATATTTGGTGACAGAATGTAATTACTTATTATTTATGGTTTAACATTTTACTAATTCTTCGTTGTTTCTCTCCACAGCATCAATGGCAGTTGGAGTATTGTCTTCCAACAGTCCTAAATATTTGCCAATTACAACAAAAGTGGAAAATAATTCTAAATATATGCCACTTTCACCTAAGGAAGAAGGTCGTTCGTCTAATTTGAAACAAATGCCACATAACACGAAGGAAGGAAATGATTCTTATAATCCTAAAAATATGCCACTTAGTCCTAAGGAAGGAACTAACTCGTTTGTTGCCACATCAGATCTTTTTGGGAAAAAAAGTAAAACCCCCCCCCTTTTTGGGTTTTCCCCCCGGGGAAATTTTTTTTAAACCTTTTTTTTGGGAAAAAACCCCTTTTTGGGGGGGAAAAAATTTCCTTAGGGCCCCCTTTTTCCCCCCTTTTTTTTTGGGGGGGGTTTGGGGGGGGGAAAACCAAAATTTTTTTTGGGGGGGGGGGGGAAAAAAAACCCCCGGGGGCCCCCCCCCCAAAAAAAAAATTTTTTTTTTTCCCCCCCCCCCCCGGGTTTTTAAAAAAATTTCCCCAATTTTTCCCCGGGCCCAAAAAAAAAAATTTTTTAAAAAAATTTTGGGGAAACCCACCCCAAAAGGGGGGTTTTTTTAAAAATTTTTAAAATTTTTGGGGGGGGAAAACCCAAAAAATTTTTTTGGGGAAAAAAAATTTTTAAAAAAATTTTAAAATTTAAATTAAAAAATTTTTTTTTGGGGGGGTTTTGGTTTGGGTTTTAAAGGGGGGGGTTTTTTTTTTGGGAAAATTTTTTTTTTTGGTTTTTTTTTTTTGGGGGGTTTTTTTTGGGGGGGGGGGGGGGGGTTTTTTTTTTTTTCCCCCGGGCCAAAGGGTTTTTAAAAAAGGGGAAAAATTTAAATAAGGGGGGTTTTTTTTTTAAAAAAAAGGGGGAAATTTTTCCCCGGGAAAAAGGGGGAAAAAATTTTTAAAATTTTATTTTTTTAAAACCCAAGGGGCCCCCAAAAAAAGGTTTTTCAAAAAAAAAAATTTTTTTTTTAAAATTTTTTTTAAAAAAAAATTTTTTTTTTTTTTTTTTGGGAAAAAAAGGGGGGGGGGGGGGGTTTTTTTGGGGGGGGTTTTTTGGGTTTTTTAAGTTTTTTGGGGGTTTCCCCGGGGGCCTTTTTTTTTTCCCCCCCCTTTTTTTTTTAAAAAAAAATTTTTTTCCCCAAAGGAAAAAAACCCCCCCCCCCCCAAAAAAAGGGGGTTGGGGGGAAAAAAAAAAAAATTTTTTTTTTAAAAAATTTTTTTAAAAAATTTTTTAAAAAAAAAAAATTTTTTAGGGGGGGGCCCCCCCAAAGAAAAAAAAAAAATTTTTTTTTCCCCCGGGGGCCCCCCCTTTTTTTTTTAAAAAAAAAAAAATTTTGGGGGAAAAAAAATTTTTTTTAAAAATTTTTTAAAAAGGGGGGTTTTTTTTTTGGTTTTAAAAAAGGGAAAGGGGGTTTTTATTTTTTTTTTTTTTTCCCCTTTTTTTAAACCCCTTTTTTTTCCCCCCCCGGGGGGGGGTTTTTTGGGTTTAAAAAAAAACCAAATTTTTTTTTCCCGGGGAAAATTTTTAAAAAAATTTTTTTTTTTAAAAAAAAATTTTTTTTTTTAAAAAAAAAAAAACCCCAAAAAAAATTTTTTAAAATTTTTTGCCACCAGTTTTTTGGAAAAAAATTAAAAAAATTTTTTTTAAAAAAAAAAGTTTTTTAAATTTGGGGGGGGCCCTTTCCCCAAAAAAAAAAAAAAAACCCAAAAAAATTTAAAAAAATTTTTAAAGGGGGAAAATTTTTTAAAAAAAAAATTTTGGGGGAAAAAAAAAAAAAAATTTTTTTTTTTTCCCAAAAAAAAATTAAAATTTTTTTAAAAAAAATTTTTTTTTTAAAACAAAAAAAAAAAATTTTTTTTTAAAAAAAAAAAAAACCCCTTTTAAAAATTTTTTTAAAAATTTTTTTAAAAAGGGAAATTTTGGTTGTTTTTAAAAAAGTTTAAAAAAAAAAAGGATTTTTTAAAAAAAAAATTAAAATTTGCCTTTTTTTTTTAAAAAAAAAAAAATTTTTGGGGGTTTTTTTTTTTTCTTTTTTTGGCGGGGGGGGAAAAAAAATTAAATTTTTAAAAAGGGGGTTTTTTCCCCTTTTTTTTTTTCCCCCCTTTTCCCCGGTTTCCCCCCAAAAACCCCTTTTTCCGGAAAAAAAAAAGGGGAAATTTTTTTTTTGGGTCCCCCTTTTTCCCCCATTTTTTACCAATTTTTTTTAAAAATTTTTCCCCAAGCCAAAAAAAGGGGGGGGGCCCCCCCCCAAAAATTTTTTTGGGGGCCCCCGAAAAAAATTTCCCCCCCCCTTTTCGGGAAAAAAAAAAAAAAAGGGGAAAAAAAAGGGGGGAAAAAAAAAAATTTTCCCTTTTTTCCCCCAAAAAAAAAAAAGGGGGGTTTTTGGGTTTTTGGCCCCCCCAAAAAAACCCCCGGTTTTAAAATTTTGGGGGAAAAAGGGAAAAAAAAAAAAACCCCAAAAGAAAAATTTTTTTTTTTTAAAAAAAACCCCTTTTTTTTTTTTCCCTTTTAATTTTTTTTTTTTAAAAAAAATTTTCAAATTGTTTGGGAAAAAAATTAAAATTTTTTAAATTTTTGGGGGGGTACCGGGGTTTTGGGGGGGTTTTGGAATTCCGGGGGTTTTCCCTTTTTTAAGGGGGGGTTTTTTTTTTTCCCCTTTTTTTTTTGGGGGGGGCCCCCCTTTTGGGGGGGGGGGGGGGCCGGGGGTTGGGGGGTTTTGGGGGGGAAAAGGGGTTTTTTAAAAAAAAGGGGGGGTTTTTTAAAAATTTTTTTTAAAAAAAATTTTTTTAAAAAAAATTTTTTTTTTTTTAAAAAGGAAAAAAAATTTTTTTTTTAAAAAAAAAAATTTAAAAAAAAAAACCCCCCTTTTTTTTTTGGGGGTTTGTTAAAAAAAATTTTTTAAAAAAAAAGGGGGGCCCCAAATTTTGGGGGGGGGGGCCGAGGGGAAAATTTGGACCTTTTTTTTAAAAAAACCCCCCCGGGGGAAAAGGTTTAAGGAATTTTTTGGGAAAAACCCCCTTTTCCCAAAAAAAAAACCCCCCCAAAAAAAAAAAACCCAAAAAAAATTTTTTTTTTTAAAAATTTTTTTTTTTTTTTTTTGGGGGAAAAAAAAATTTTTAATTTTTAACAAAAACCTTAATAAAAGGGTTTAAAAAAATTTTTTTTGTTTTTTTTTCAAAAAAAAAAAGGGGGGGCCTCATTTTTTTTAAAAAAATTTTTTTAAAAATTTTAAAACCAAAAAAAAATTTTGTTTTTTTTTTTAAAAAAAACCCCCCCCCCCTTTTTTAAAAATTTAAAAACCGCCCTTTTCCCCCTTATTTTTTTTCCCCCCTTTTTTTTAAAAAAAAACCCCCCCGGGGGGGGGAAAAAAAAAAAAAATTTTCCCCCTTTTTTTTTTTTTTTTTTTAAAAAAAACCAAAAAAAAAAAAAAAAAAAGGGGAAAAAAATTTTTAAATTTTAATTTTTTTTTAAAAATTTTTCCCCCTTTTTTTGGCATTTTTTTTTAAAAAATTTTTAAATTTTTTAAAAAAAAACCCCCCAAAAAAGGGGAAAAAAAAACCCCCCCTTTCCCCCCCCTTTTTTCCCCCTTTTTTTAAAAAAAGGAAAAGGGTTTTTTTTTTTTTTTTTTTTTTGGGAAAAGGGTTTCCCCCCCCCTTTTTTTCCCCCAAACCCTTTCCCCCCTTTCGGAAGGGGTTTTTCCCATTTTTTGGGAAAAATTTTTTTAAAAAATTTTTTTTTAAAAATTTTTAAAAACCCCCTTTTTTTTTAAAAAATTTCCCCTTTTTTTTTTAAAAAAACCCTTTTTAAAAATTTTTTAAAGATTGAAAAAAATTTCCCCCCTTTTTTTCCCCCCCCGATTTTGGGGGCCCCCGTTTTTTAAACGTTTGGGCCCCCAAAAAAACCCAAAAAAAGGGGCGGAAAATTTTTTCCCGGGGGGGGGGGAAAAACCCCCCTTTTTTTTTCCCCAAATTTTTTTTTTGGGGGGGCCCCCCTTTTAAAAAACCCCGGGGGGAAAAAATTAAAAATTTTTTCCCCCAAACTTTTTTTTTAAAAAAAAATTTTTAAAACCCCCCCCCCGGGGGGGGGGAAAAAAACCCCCGGGGGGGAAAAAAAAAATTTTTTTTCCCCCCCCCCTTTTTTCCCCCCTTTTTAAATTAAAAAATTAAAAGGCTAAGGCCCCGGGGTTTTTTAAAGGGGGGCCCCCCCCCCTTTTTTTTTCCCCCCCCCCGGGGGTTTATTTTTTTTAAAAAGGGGGGGGCCAAAATTTTTTTTAAACCCCCCCCTTTTTTTTCCCCAAGGGTTCTTTGGGGTTAAAAAATTTTTTTTTAAAAAAGGGGGGTTTTTTTGGGGGGGGGGAAAAAAATTTTTTTTTGGGGGGGGGGGGGTTTTTTGGGGGAAAAAAAAAGGGGGGGGGGGAAAAAAAAATTTTGGGGGGGAAAAAATTTTGGGGAAATTTGGGGGGTTTTTTTTTGGGTTTTTTTTCCGGGGGGGGGGGGGGGGGGGGGGGTTTTTTTTTTTTTAAAAAAAAACCCCGGGGGGCCCCCCGGGGGGGGGGGAAAAGGGGGGGGGGGGGGAAAGGGGGGGGGGGGGTTTTTTTTTGGGGGTTTTGGGAAATTGGGTTGGGGGGTTTGGTTTTTTTTTTTTTAAAAAGGGGTTTTTTAAGGGGGGGTTTTTAAAAAAATTTTTTTTTTTTGGGGGCCTTTTTAAAGGGTTTTTTTTAAAAAAATTTTTTAAAAAAAAATTTTGGGGGGGGGGGTTTTTTTTTAAAAAAAAAAAAACCCGGGGGTTTTTTGGGGGGGGTTTTTTTGGGGGGGGGTTTGGGGAAAAAATTTTTGGGGGGGTTTTAAGGGGGGGGGGGGAAAAAAAGGGGGGGGGGGAACCCGGGGGGTTTTAAAAAATTTTTTAAAAAAGGGGGGTTTTTTTTTTTCCCGGGGGGGGGGAAAATTTTTCTTTCCAAAAAAAAGGTTTTAATTTTAAATGGGGGGAAAAAAAGAGGGTTTTTTTGGGGGGGGGGAAAAAGGGGGTTTTTTTGGGTTCCTGGGGGGAAAAAAAAAAACCCCCCCTTTGGGGGGTTTTAAAAAATTTTGGGGGGGGTTTCCGAAAATTTTTTTGGCCCAAAATTTTTTTTTAAAAAATTTTTTTCCCCCCATTTAAAAAAATTTTTTGGGAAAAAAAAAAAAGGGGGGGGTTTTCCCCTTTTTTTTGGGGGGGAGGGGCCTTTTTTGGG